AAGCATATTAAAAATAATAGTACAAAAGGATGTGGAGGGCTTCAGAATGTATTTTGAGAGAAAATGCCTAAATAACTGTTCTGTAGTGGGTTGCAAGGGAAAAAAGAAAAAAAAACCCTCATTTGCTGTCTACAAGCTTTGGATTTAAGAATTTGGTATGCAATCCTACAGGTGTCTGTTATAGGTCGGTCTCATAAAGGTCAATTACACTTACTCTCCAGATATTGAAAAACTGAAGCCTGCAATGATCTCAGAACTTCATTCTTATATGATACTAAATCCATAACATTTTATTTTGAAATTTTAAGAATAATGCTACCAGAACCCACTTTTGTAAATGTTCTGAGTTTTTGTGGTGAGGAGTGTTTTTAAATAGAATGTTATAGATATGTCTTATCTATGTTAAATAGATAAGAACAGGTTTTTATCTAAAACCAGTTATATATTATGGTGCTTAAAAGTTTGGGAACCCTTTTGAATTTCAATATTTCTGCATAAATATTACCTAAAATGTGATCTGTTCTCCACACATGTCCTAAAACCAGATAAAGAGACCCAATTAAACAAATGAGTCAAAAACATTATACTTATTCATTTATTGAAGAAAATGATCCTAAGCTACATATCTGTGCGTGGCAAAAGTATGTGAACCTCTAGGATTATCAGTTCATTTGAAGGAGAAATTAGAGTCAGGTGTTTCAGTCAGTGGAGTGATAATCAGGTGTGAGAGTGGGAGATTCTGCCTTATTAAAAGAACAGAATTTTGGGTATTCGCTGTCAAAGTTTGATCTTCACAACTGGTGTGTGGAAGTGTGTTGTGGCTCAAACAAAGGAGATTTCTGCAGACCTCCAAAAAAAGAATTGTTGATGTTTTGCAGCCTGGAAAAGATTACAAAACCATTTCCAAAGAGTTTAGACTCCACCAGTCCACTGTCAGGCAGATCATCTAGATCACAGCAAGAACAAGGCATGTAATACTCTAGGAGGTCTTATTGAAAATTAGGGTAACATCTAAGGAGCTAAAGGCTTCTCTTGCATTGGCAAGTGACTGTATTCATGAGACCACCATCAGGAGAATACTGAACAACAGTGGCATGGCAGGGTTGCAAGGAGAAGGCCACTATTCTCTAAAAAGAACATTGCTGCCCATGTACAGTTTCAGAAAGACCATGTGGATGAGGCTACTGGAGAATGTTCTGTGGATGGATGAGACCAAAATAGAATTTTTTGGCTTGAATGAAAGACATTATGTTTGGCAAAAGGCCAACACTGCATTCCAGCATAAGAACCTTATCTCATCTGTGAAACTGGGTGGCAGTATCATGGTTTGGGCTTGTTGTGCTGCCTCTGGACCAGGACAGCTTGCCATCATGCACGGAACTATGAATTCTGAATTGTACCAGCAAATTGTACTATTTAATAAGATACTCTAGAGCTGCTTTTTTAAGTTGTGAAGCAGCACCAGTACCTTGGCCTGATTCCTTTGAGGATTTCCTGAAAAATATACCTTTATTGTTAATTCTTGATGTATCACTAGGAAAAAACAATTTAAGTATCCCAGAATTAGAAGAAATCTTTCACTGAAATAACCGCGAAATGCTTTTAATATTTTGAAGTATATGAAAAAGAATTCAATCTTTGGGAGATATAAGAATTACATTGTGGACAGGATGGCATGCCCTACTGTTCACTTCTTATATTGAGTCCAAATGACCTAACTGTACAGGATAAAATCTGTCATGTGGTTGGTATTCTCATTTTATATTTTGTACATACATACACATTGTCTTAGGTAAAAAATATAAATTTCTATTAAGTAGAATTCTGTCTAGCTGGCATTATTACTGTAGTTTTTTATGTTTCAGTTAAGCATTATTCATACATATAATTCACACTTTCCCTGTTACTTAAATCTTTTAATTAATATATGTTGTTCATGACTTCTGAATTAACTATGAAAATAGTCAATCTGTAAGAATATTTTAAAAATCTCTTTAAATAAATTCCAATAGCTCTGTTGAAGATACAACTTTGCATGTAGAATTAATCTATACAAGCAGTGGTGAGCAGTCCCTCTCCTCTGTAAAATTTATGAATATATTTATGCATAGGCTATATATGCAAATATGTTATTGAGATCTTGAACCATGCACTGACAGGCAAACTTGGAAGGCTTTACATATAGAGTTCTAGATTCCCTAGATGATTCCTAGATTTTTTTTAAAAATCCTTAATTTGTATCCTCTTTGTCAAAAAGACCCTTCTCTTTTTTAATAGATTATTTTTATAAACAGTTGTGCCCTCTTTGAAAAAAGAATATGTAATCCTCTGTTTCCTAAGTGCTGAGGGAAGATATCACTGTGAAATTAGGCTTCTTTAAGTTGATCAAAAACATTTTGCTTTTTTTATATATTGATGTGAACTTAAAAACAAATATTTATATGATGGAATGGATATTTCTAATCTGAGGGAATTTGTCTAGATGTCTAATTAAGATTGGGGAAAAAAATTGTTTATTTACCAGACCAAAGATTTTCAAACTCTGGTCTGCAGATCACTGGTGGTCCACGGAGACCACTACAGCCTCATACGTTCACCATTTAGCTGGCCAGGCCCAAGCTTACTTGTCACCTCAGGCTTTGTCCTCCTTTATTCTGTATCAACTGGCTAGCCAAGCCGGAGCCCACCCACTACCACAGCTTCCATTTTCCAGCATTTGCCGCTAGTCAGATGGTTTGAAAAACTGGATTTGTGGCTGAGAACTGTTTTGTTGAAGCATACAGATAATAATACAAGCAACAAGAGGGGCACTAAAATTCAGAAATCAACCAATAAGAACATGTGTTAAGTAGAGTTATTTTTGCTATTCTTTGGCTTCTACAGTTACCCAGTGTGCATCAGTAATAAGGTTCCTCGGCCTTTTCTAAAACATGTAGATTTCTAGATCATCTGACATCTCCCTTTCTAAGCATTATTTTGCTAGCATGTGAAATTTAGGCTGTCCTGTGATAGTTTGCACATTCTATGAAATCTCCTTCCTTTGGTATTGGTATGTAGCCAAGTCTTCTAATCTCTTGACCACCATGTCATTTTCCAGATTTGCTGCCATATTTTGCTTAGAACTTTTACCGATTCTTCTTCTGTTGTTTGCCATATTTCTGTAGATATTCCATCAATTCCAGTAGCCCTCTGGCTTGATAATGACCAGAGTGCTGTTCTAACTTAATCTTCTAGTACTAGATGCTCTTCTAAGTATGGAATATTTTCTAAGGTATCTTGGATGTTGACATCAGTACTGTAAAGAATTTCAGTATGCGCCTTCCATTTCTGTTAGATCTTACTGATATCAGTTATTATCTGTCCATTGGCATCCTTTATTACATGGCATACCAGTGTGAGGTTGGAAACTCCTAAGTTTAGAGATTTTTTGGAAGACTTTTCTTATTTTTCCATGTCTCTTTCCATGTTTGGCAGAAAATGGTCCTGTAACTAACTTGGTCATATAGTTAACTTGGTCCTATTGTGAACATCCTGAACTGGGGCTGGAAGACAGCCACCATCCATGCAGCCTTTTTAGTGCAGGGAACCTTTGGAAAGCACATATCCTCAACTCTACTGCTTCATTCTTCCCAGCTGCAACTTTTGGACCATCTGGGCCACCCTATAAAGAGTTTATTATAATAACTGAATCTTCTGATTACCATTGTGTAAATCCTGAAAGCATGGCTGTTTCTTGGAATCAATAACAACTCTGTCTTGTTTGCATTCAGTTTCAATTCGTTATTGCACAAAGAATCCTTTACTTCCTTCCCTCTCTTCCAAATTAAATCCCTCACATCCAAATAAATCCAAAAATGCGAGGGAATTCCTGGAAGCTTGGTATTCAGACAAGACAGCCGTCAATAGGAACATAGAGATAAACAACATCTACGCACTATTCAAAAGAGACAATAAAAAGGAAAACAAAAGACCAGAACATCTCACCAGCAGTCATTACCCATATAAGCAGAGATTAACACCAAGATTATCACCAGATATACAATCAGCAGTAAACAATACCCTAATCAAGGAACTACCAGAGGGGAAAAATAAAACAAAACAAAACAAAACCCCCACCAACACTGCCAGGGTATGCCACTGTATATAAACAGAGAGCAAACCCGACCTCATTCTAGCACTGAAGATGTTACCTAGCCGGGTGGTGAAACGTTTGCAAAAAAACAGCCAAGCTCAGAGAACCCCAAGGACTCCACAATACATCCTGTTTTGGGCTGCCTTGAGTTGGCCCAAAATAGGGGACCAAGGGTGTTAATTAGAACTGGATGTTTTGGACAATACTTAGTTTCACTAGTTTCTAGTCAGTTTTTGGACTCAGTTGAAAGCATTTGTGCTGAGCTGTAACATTCTAAATTGTTAGGCTTACTGGCAAGCTTTTGGCAAAATGTCTTTGGCATTTGACTTGGTACAGCTTGAGTAGGATCTAGGTTCTCAATAGAATGTGGTTACATATTGCATACTAGGGAGAAGCCATTGAAACAGGTGATGGCAACAAGACATCCAATATGCGCTGTATACCAACCATAGTTTAATTCTAGCTCTTCTGGCTCTCATTCTTCCCATGTTTTAACAAAGTTTTTGTCCTGTGCTTTTTGACTTTGAAGCTGGGCAACTGTTGTTTATTGGCATAACTTGACACATCTGCCCTAAGAAACTCTGGCTCTTTCTCATAAAATGTTTGATTGGGTTGCTTCATGCCATATAAAACCTACCCAGAATATGAAGTCACTGTTGGAAGACAGATATTCTTGGAGGCTACCTCACTTGGTAGCAAGTGAGGGCATTTTGTGCTCTTTTATAGATTTTCTCTTACTGTACATATCTTAGTGTCTTTTAAAATTGTTATTCAGTTTTATGTTTGATTTTATAACTTAGTTACTTGTTTTTTTGTTGTTGATATTTTAATCCTTTTAATGTATGCCAACTAAAGAATTTTGGTAAGCAAAAAATAAATGGAAAATTGCAGGATATTTTGTACAGTTATGCTTTTGACTAAGGTTATCATTTTCCTTTTACAGAATGTTGGTTTTGAAAGCTCAGGGAAGAAGCCACAGGGAGAAAAACATAATCCAGTGGTAAGCATGACTGTTTATCCCATTTAATTATTTAACAAGTAATATTTCAGTCAGGCTGTTTATTGAAATAGATATAGCAGTTAGGGATACTAATGTAATGTTAGAGAATAATCAGGAAATGAAAGAACATCTTACTCAATTTAGCTATTCAATTTTAAATGCATAGTTTAAAATTTTAAAAACTTTTTGTTCTTAAAATGAGAAAGCCTTAGTTATACCCTCTCTGTTTCTCCAGTCATTAGACCCTTGACATCATAAATAAAGGTACATAGCAAAGAATGGGGGAGAGGGAGAAGTGGGGAAAGGCAAGGCATCATATACATGAATGCTAGTGCTTAATTTTCAGAAAGCATGTAGTAATTTACATATGTGATTAAGATTAATACTAGTATCTCTTTAGTATTAAATGCCATACATTCCCTTGTTTTGCCATTTGCAGGAGATGTTCTGGCCAAATTACAGTGTGTTTAGTGTTCATTGCTTTCCTACACTATAAGTAAAATAAACTGGCTACCAGAGATCCACATCTCTGGTATGACATAGTTTTCTATTCTGATGATGTATATCCAAGAACTGTTAAAAGTGGAGACTCTGAAAGATGTAATAGGTTGCCACTAATTTTTATTTTAAAACAAAATGATAAGATAATGAAACCATAGCTACAGCTACCCAATTTAAGGGTATCTATTTATGTTCTTAATCAGATTTTGTTCAAGATGAATAAAAAGATAGTTACATGGCTGACTTTCACATGTCTTTTTTGGGAGGATACATTAGTATAAAGAGGCTGATGCTTCTGTTTAGAGATAATTTTATTCAAGAAAATGCATGAACAAAATTTGTAAAAGTTTGAACTTTCTTAGTACTTAGGGTCTTTCCTTTAAAAACATATCTCATGTGTGTAAATATATGGCAACATTTTGTTCAACTTCCTAGGCTTGTTACTCTTTTTAAGCTACTTCTTTCTTTTCTCACAACAGTGCCTGAAAATGACAACAAAGCGGAACTTGTTTGTGCGATTGGTCCCATGCCGCTGTTTGCGTGGAGAAGAAGAAACTGTGACTGCACTTGATTACTCTCACTGCAGCCTGGAGCAGGTGCCTAAGGAAATTTTTACTTTTGAAAAGACATTGGAAGAACTCTATTTAGATGCTAATCAGATTGAAGAGCTTCCAAAGGTATGTTGCATTCTAATATTGTATATAAGTGAATAACAGTGAATCCTCACATAAATGCTTTGGGTACAAAGGCAGGTAGAGGGAATGTAAATCTTCTAGTAGTTTTATAATGTTTGTACCTCAGGGAAAGAGTGCTGATATGACAAAACTAACTCTAAGGTCCTGTACACATACACCTCATTTTTGCTGAAATGAACCATGGCTGCTTGGCTCCTTCTTGATTATTGTCCTAGCATTGTGAGTGGTCCAAACACAGTAGATTTTATGGAGCAGAAAATAGTTCATAGTATTCAAGACTATGGACTATTTCCATTTTTGGAAGTGTCAGTTTTTAAAAAAATTACTAAATGACCCTCTTGAATGTGGATTGGTGGTAAGGTTCAGAATCCAAGCAGTAGGTTTTGTGCATTCCTAAGTGAAGCATATTAGCACCATTGCTTCAGATAATCCCTTCCCAGAGGCTTCCTGTAGACACTAAATAATAAAGGTTAAAATAAAGTGGTCATACTGAATAGTAGTCCTGAGTTCTATTTTTCAAACACAACACAGTAGAATAGAGTATAACCTCTGTAATATATTGATCTCAAGGTCTAGCCATGCCTCAGGATGGGGCACTTCAGAAAACTTGTTAATATGAAGAAAGAACCACTGTTAAAGCATTAAAGCAGATCATATGCTGAAAGGCATGCATAGCATCTTTGAAGGCTATTACTAATTGTCTACATGTCCAGATGTTTCCACTGCAGTGACTAGTAAACTGAAGCATTTGTGCATGTGCATGCAGATGCACACATGCACAGAGATATGCAGGAATAGCTTTTGATGCAGCTAAGCAGGCGTTCCAAAATTTTTCACATTTTCACAAAAGGTGCTTCACTCACACTGGCATGTTTTGTGAAGCATTCGTTTTAGGTGCTTTGCGCAGCTCTGCTGCTGTAGGTCATTTTGGTTGATAATACTAAATAGTAAAAGAATTAGATAATTTACCAAGATGACCATGGCAATCTTGGTCCAATATTTGAGCAAAAACCTGAATAAAACAGGTCCACATAATATCATCCAGATCATTATGGCATTGCAATGTAATCACATGCAAATAAACATTTTTTCACTTCCCTTTACTGACTGAATCAGCAAAAAGTGTAATGTTGAAAAGCAGCTTCTTGTCACTCAGACATTCTGTCTCAGGATCCAAAAGCTAAACAGATTAAAAACTATTGGATAAACAGCTGAAACAGATGTTTCATAATGAGCAGCTGACTGCTATGCCTTTCCCCTCTGCAGCATCCTAGCAAATAAAGCCTCATATACTACAGAATGATAGTAAACATAAGTTGTTTCAGTGCCCTAAGTATAATGAAGTAGGTTTCCAATACTTCTGTCCCTAGTTTGATTTTATTAATTCCAAGTTGTTTTTTGTTAGGACTCAAGGTGTCAACTCCCATGTTTCTGGAGATTTAAAATCACAGAATAAACATATTTAAGATGTACATTAGGGAGATCAAAATGTTCATATTGGCAACAAACCTTACAAAGGTGACAAATTGTATATAAATGAAGTTTTAAAATGTGCACTGTAATCAGGAATATGTGATTGAATGTTTTGTATAAGTTGATTTTGTGATCCTAGCCACATTTTTACTTCTTAAGTGATTATCACTTCCCAATTTGAGATACAGAATTTTTCAGATAAAATTTAAGGTTAGGGTTTATCTGTCTTTCTCTGGGAAGTGGGATCTTGTAGGCATGAGAAAGCCTACCAACTTTGATTAAGGTGTCCAACTGTATGCTTTTATGTACATACAATTTTGTGTCAGGTTTATACCTATACTTCCTCCTTGCAAGTTTCCGCTTCTCAGAGGTAGAGAGTTTGAGTGGGTGGATCCAGGGAGTGGTGAATGAATCTTTGCATGAGAGAGTACTGCCACCAGACTCGAAGGAAGGGTGTTGTCTTTCTGCTCCTGAAAAAACATTCTCTGGATTGTTCAAGCTGCCTGAGTGCCTGCTAGTTATGTAGCTGCATTTCTTGGAGGATACTGATTATTATTATTTTTTAAAATATAATTTTATTGAATAATTTTTAACAAGATAAAAACAATACAGATATTAGAA